GTGCCGCAGGAAGTGCTGGGTGGCGCTCAGACAGTCTTCGTACGCAGCGGGGTATTTGTGCTCGGGGGCCAGGCGGTACCTGCCACACGGAGACGAGGAGAAGGAAATGTCAGTAGTAGTAACCAGGAAATGGTCTCCTATGCTGCTCTTCAGCCCTATCATTTTGGGGTGGCTTGGATCTAGGTTAGGATCCTCAGTGCCTCCAAAGAGCTGCTCCACTGTTTGGGGTTGTGGATAAACTGTAAATGGTGAGTTCAGTCACAAGGACTCACTGAAGTAGGATTGTCTTTGATTAACGATCTGAACAAGGAATTGAACAGTTCTTTGTCGCCCTGATTCTTAAGATTTTCTAAAGCCTTCTGAGTTAACATTCTGTTAGAGAACTTTCTCACAAAATTTTCTGTAAACAACCTATTGTCTTGCATTCCTTCACAGAGGTGAAGAAACTTGGTGTACTGGTAGTTTGTCCAATGTCACTGGAGAGGTGGCACCGTCACCCTCCAATCCACTGTCACCTTTGGAGAAGTATAAATACTGGTGTCAGAAAATAAACTCTCTCTTTTTTACCTTTGCAATATCAGCGGCTCATGTCGTGCTTTCACATGTCCTGTAGTGACAGTTCTTAGTGATGGTGAAAACTCCCTCTATACTTCTGACAAGATTATTTAATAATTTTGTGCCTCTGCTCCCCATGTGTAAAATGGGAGTATTTCAGTGTGATTCTTCTCTTTTCCCATAGTTCCCAATTGCTTGGAGCATCTTATTACATGTCCATATGTTCAGCACAAGGAAGACTTTTTTCACCTAAGTTTTTAATTGTTTTTTATAGATTTACTTAGTGTGCCAAATATTTCCATTTGTATTTTTTTGGAGTATCTCTGTTAAGGGCTGCAAAATCTTCATGATCACTATTTTTCCCTTTATGAACTTGACTGAATCCCACAGAAATTCCTGTGCCAAAAATGAACATCTACAACACCAGCACAGCTCTGCTGTGGTCCCACAGCAACAATAACCTCCCAACTACAGACCTGGGTAGTGTTCACTTACTGCACAGACACAACCACTGAGTCACTCTCCCTGGAGAGGTAGCGGCACACCTTTTCATAGGTATCTGCAAAAGAAATACTGTTTTTAGTGCTTCACTCTGCTTTCAGACAGCCTAAGAAATGTCTGTTCCAAAAGGGCTTCAAACTTCATCCCAAACCACACGCTGAAACCACATCTTATTTCAAACTTCTAAAAAGATAAGAATATTCTTTCTATACTACAAAGTTCCTCCAGGACGTATCTTACCAAGGCTTCCGAATACCCAGCCTCCTCCATGGAAGAAGAGGATGCCTCTCCTTGGCCCATCAGAGGTAGCTTTAGGCTGATAAACCCTCACAGGTACTTCATTAAACTGCAGATCCTGGATAAAGAGCTTTGGATCCAACCCTAGTTTCCGACCCTGTCGCACGTATCGGCCAAAAGTGATTTGGCTGCAAAGCCCAGTCTTCTCCAGAATCCTTCCCTGTTAAAGGTAAAAGACATTAAGGCATCTTTAAAAGTCAGGAGTTAGCCAGGATATAAAAACTCTGCATTGTACTTAGATCAAACTTATTTGGAGGAAGTTTTAAAGAAATACAGAACTCTGATTTGGAAATGAAACAATTTTCCCAAGTTCCCACCCCCTGCAGTCTGTAGAAAAATGTACTTGCACTACTCCAACCCAATGTCATTGTAATGTCACATCATAACTTTTATAAAGATCAGCCGAAGTGGTTGTCTTGGAGTACATATTTTAATTATCAGCATTGTCCTGCACACATTTGTGCTCGTTCTTGTTTCACTTATACTTGATAACAAGAATGAAATACCATATGTAGGAACATATTTCTTCATTGCTGAAACGAATATTCATTAATTAGACCATAAAACTCAGTGAATAAAAAGAGCCGAGCTGTGTTGTGCAAGGTAGTTACTGCTTGTTATTTGCACAGCAGAGCTACTGAGTAAAATGAAGTTCCTTCCTTTCCCAAAGCTCTTGCAAAGCTAAAATATAAATCTGATGTAACAAGTGAACAAACAAGAAACTGGGAATCAAACAGTTACAATTCCCTGGCTGAACAAGATCCCTCCTTTTAATGCCCAGTGAGTTTCTCTTGTCACCTGCTAGTGGGGTTCAGGATTGCTGGGCAGCTTTGTCAGTAAATTTAATTTACGGAGGATGTAAATGGCTTAAGAATCTGTGTGGAGGAAAACAAAGTCTGTGCAATAGCAGGGGTGATGTCTGTGGCTAAAGAAATGACAAAACTGAAGATTTTAAGAAATTCAAAGACAGCAAGTAACAGAGGCAGAGCTGAGGAGGGCTCTAATGCCGTTTATGCAACACTGCCAAAAAGAGTCCAGGGATTAAGCAAAGCAGCCCTAACCAGATTGTGTGCCATAAATGTCAGCCGCGGCAGGAGCAGCGGAAGGGCTGCAGCTTTCCTTGGACAAGGTGATTTCGCCTGGAGGTGCGGGAAGCTATCACGCAAAACACCAGCCCGGCCCCGGACTGGAGGCTGCCATCAGCCGGTCGCAATCTCCGCTAACACGCCCCAGGCACGTCCCTGAACCGGGAGCGGGGTTTGCCCGCGATATGGGCAGTGTTCCCCGCAGCAGCCCGGCAGGAGGGTGCCCGGGGCGGCATCCTCGACAGGGGATGCTCAGGGCAGTGTTGGGGCCGGCGATGGCATCCTCGACAAGGAGATGCTCGGGGCAGTGTTGGGGCCGGCGGTGCCCGGGGCGGCATCCTCGATAGGGGATGCTCGGGGCAGTGTTGGGGCCGGCGATGGCATCCTCGATAGGGGATGCTCGGGGCAGTGTTGGGGCCGGCGATGGC